AGCCCCGCCCGCCCTTCGAGCCCGCAAACTCCCTCGTCCCAAGAGCCGCGGGCACGCCCTCTCCTGTGACCCGTTTGACCGTTTGACCCACCGACTTCTGCCGCTGCTTCCGCAGCTGCGACACTGCCTCGATCTGCCGCTTCTTCTCCGCGGCCCGCTCCCGCGTCTTCTGCGCCTGGACCTGCTTGCTGTACGCCTTCTGCTCGCGCGCCTTGCGCCTGCGGCGGCGGGACGGGTGGATCAGATCAGGGGCGCGAGGGCCGGGTTGAGAGACGCATGCAGCTGGTTCTCGCTTTGACAGCTGGGTGGGGGCGGTGGTCGGGCTGGTGGGTGGGCGGGATGGCACCCGTGCAGGGGCACAAGCTGATTCCCCCTGGGCAAGGGCCGCTGGTGCCGCGCGGCGGCCCGCTGCGGACGCGAGGCGGCTCGCCGCGCGCGTCGCGTCTCCCCCGCCGCATGGGATGGGCGGACCCCTTCGCCTCCAGGGCCAGTAAGGCCGCGGTGTGTGCGCGCACCTCTCATCGGCCTCCTCTATCTGCTGCTGCTCGTGCATGAGCCGATCCTTCACCTGCGGGGGTCAAGGCGCGCGGGGGGCGGCGCGCGGCGGCGGCTTGCGAGGCTGCGGCCCAGGTTCAGCAAGCCATGATACTGAGACTCCGAGGCGCTGCATGCTCACTGCAGGATGTCGGCAGACATATGCATACATACACATGCGAGCGCACGCGCACACACACACACACACACACACACACACACACACACACACACACACACACAATTACACACACACACACGCCCACCTTGGCCATGTGCTCATCACTCTTCACCATCTCAGCGTAGTAATCCGCCGGCCTGTGCCACGCCACCCCCGCCGCCTCGAACCGCCGGATCGCCTCCGCCGCGGCCCCCATCGCCTGCCGTCCCGGGATCAAAGCGGCGGCGGCAGCAACGCCCGAGTCAGCAGAGCCACCACGCGGGCCCAGCCACGGCGGGCTGGCGCCAAGAGGGCTGCTGCATGGCGACCACGCCCGTGATTTGCTGCATGCTACCCGAGGGCGACCCACCCGCCTGCATGCGGCCCCATGCGAAAAGGATGCAGCCCCATGCAATCAGGGGGCGCCGGCCATGGTGGCACACCTGGTTGTAGAAGGCCAGCTCCCGGCCCAAATCGTCGTCGATATTGTCGACCTGGGTAGCTTCCTTCGCGGTCACCGCCTGCGCCTCCTCCCAAGGCGCGTCCTCGCCCCAGGCTATGTCCTCGAGCTTCTCGTGCAGGCCGTCCACGTTGTAGATCGGCTTGCGCTTGGCGGGCGCGCCGGGCCCGTGGGCGCCCGCGCCGGAGGGGCCGCCCTCGCCGTCCGAGCCGTCCTCGTCGCCGCCTTCGGAGCCCGACGCGCCGCCGCTGTCGCTGTCGTCCTCGCCGTGCTGCTGCATGGCTTCGAGCTCCTGGCGGAAGATGGGCGGGGGCAGGCGCTGCGCTCGGGGAAGCGAGGCGGGAGGGCGGCTGCTGCGCTAGGGGGGCGGCGGGAGGGGGCGCGGCGGCTGGTGTGCTGAGCTGCCGGCAGAGCGGCGATGCGTGCTCGCAGGTGCTGAGCACACCTCATCCGAATAGTCTTCACTGTCCGACATGCTGTTTATCTCTCGTGAGCGCCCACACACGCGCTGGACGACCAGTGCTGGGTGCTGCAGAACGGGTGCCACGACAGGAGATACGCTATAAGACGCACTGTAGACACAATCTCATTCTTTGTGTAATCGTGTGCACTCTCGTACCGTATACAAAATTCACGATTGTGTTGATACCTGTTGGTCTACGATCTGACTCGCTCCTCGATCAGACTCACTCCCGCTGCCAGTGACCCATCTCTAAGACTGCCTTGGCGTCTAACACATGGTTTTCATCCCATCATCTTGATCGCTTGAGCCCTGCATGCCACTGTAGCACGCATCGGCCGCTGGCACAGCAGCGACAACACCGCGGCCGCTGCGCCGCGAGCAGTCCATCCCTGCTGAGCGATGGAGCGCGCCGCGTCGGCCCCAAGGCCGCAGCCCCCTGATGAGATAGCTGAGCTGGCGACTCTGTACCCGCCCGACCAGTGGCTCGAGGCTGGCAGGTGGGGCAGCACTCGCGCACAGCGCCGCGTTCCCCACACATGCATGCCGCGTGAATCCCCATGCACGCCGCCCGCCGCCCGCTGCCCCCGGCCCTGAAGCTGCCACGCTCCCGGTCGCGCCCATGCCATCCTTTTGCGCGCAGCACCGTGCCCGTCCAGCTGGCAAAGCTTAATGAGGAGACTCGCTGCCCCATCTGCTTCGGTGAGGCGCCGGACCGCGCCTCACAAAAACAGCACCGGGGACCGCTCTATAGGGTGGCCCAGGCAGCAGGTCTGCCCCCACTGATCTGACGGCTGAGTTCAGCCTTCTACGTTGCTCGTCGACGGCGTCGGCGCGGCCGCCGCGCGGCAATGCGGCGGCGCCCCCTCAACTCAGCGGCAAGTGCTATTTCGCACGGGCCTGCTCAAATCAGCGCCTCTTGACTATCTACCCGGTGGTCGCGGCTCCAGCCAGTGCCCTCTGATGGGTGCCTACCCGCCTTCCGATCCACCCTCTGCGGCGGCCCAGGCAAGATCAAGGCCGCGCGCGTCTCGATGGTCTGCCTCCACCGCTTCTGCTCGGCCTGCATCGAGCAGTTCCTCCGGAACCAGGTGCGCCGCGGTGACGTCACATGACGTCACCTCATGCAGCGAGGCACATGACATGCCATCACGGCACGCCGGCACCAACTACCACCTTTCCGGTCGACGGCGTGCAATGCCCCACCCCCTTCCCTTGCCACACGCTGACGCTCTGCTCGCCGATCCTCATTCCTCAAGCCTGTTTCCCTCCTGTTTTGCACCTCCCCCTTCACTTAAAATACATCATGGTGCGTTCCCTCCGTCATTTACATCATGTCAATCTTGTGTTTGGCGTCAATCATGCTTCATCAAACGGCCCACAGCCCCAGGTGGAGGGCAAGGAGAAGAAGGACCAGGGCAAGGAGTGCCCCGTCTGCCGCGCACACCTCGGCAGCCGGCGCGCAGTCAAGCCGGTGAGGCGGGCGCTGATACGCGGAGGCGGGGCCAGGCGAGGGGTACAGGGTGGTGCGGCCAGGGGCAGCGCACGCAGTGGTTTGGAGGAAGGGCTGCGCTGGCTCCCCGCTGTCGCGCGGCTCTCGGCGCTCACCCTGCGTGGTACGGGCTTGCTGCGGCGGTGGCAGCCTTTGACCGGCATCCGGCTTGCGTTTAACCACTGGTGGACCGCAGGATCCCGTGTTTGACCGGATCATCGCGGCGCTGTATGGAGACGTGGAGGCTTACGAGAGCCAGGTCAGATCACGTGCAGGGCGGGGACGGGGCAGGTTTATCCGCCGGCCAACGCAGCCCGGTGAAGACATGCACGTGCTGCATGTTTGACTTCTCCGCGAGCAGCACTGCAGCTGCGCAGCCGGCGGCCCACCCCGCCCCACAATGCGAGGCGGCACAGCGCACGCATTGTTAGCGCGTGGGTTGGCCTGCCAATGCGCCGGCAGGACTTCCCCTTGACACCCTGGGACCCCTTGCGGGGCCCGGCATCATCACTTACTTTTTTGAGGCACGGCCTGCCTGCGTGGCGCCTGCCAACGCATCTCTTCTCGGGCCCGCGGCAAAACCCTGGCAACTGACAGGAGGAGGAGCAGATCGCCGCCAGCACCGCCAAGCATGCGCGCGAGTGGTCCGAGCAGCTCGCGCGCCTGCGGGAGGCGCAGGCCGCTGCGCGCGCGGCCGGCGGCGGGACGCCTCTGCACTTGGGGGCCGCGCTGATGGGCGCCTCGAAGCGCGGGCTGCCGGACCCGACGGCGATCAAGTGGGGCGCCAAGCGCATTCGCAGCACCCCTCCAACAGAGGGTGACGTGGCGGCAGCGGCGGCGGAAGTGGGGGGTCGGGTGCCCGCCAGCGTGCAGGGCCGCGGGCGGGGGCACAGGCACGGAGGGGCAGCGGCAGAGGAGCTCCCGCAGGCAGGGGGCCCAACAGTGCCGCCTGAAATGGGGCAGCAGCAGGAGCAGCAGCTGGAGCAGCAGCTGGAGCAGCAGCTGGAGCAGCAGCAGAAGCAGCAGGAGGGGGAGCAGCGGGAGCAGCAGGAGGGGGAGCAGCATCAGGGGGAGAAGCGGCAGGGGGAGCAGCGGAAGCAGCAGCAGGAGCAGCAGCAGCAGCGGGAGGAGGAGCGACTGGAGGCAGGCGCAGGCGACGCAGCAGGCGGAGCCCTGGAGAGTGCCGCCAACGGCGGCCACGGCCGCGGGCGGGGCCGAGGCCGAGGCCGGGGCCGGGGCCGGGGCCGCGGGCGAGGGCGCGGCGCGGTAGGTGAGGCGGCGCACCAGGACGGCTCGGAGCCAGGTGGCAAGCAGCTGCCGCCGGTGCACCGGGCAGGTGGTGCGCGGCAGCATCAGCATCAGCAGCAGCAGCAGCAGCAGCAGCAGCAGCAGCAGAAAAAAGAGAAGCAGCAGGAGCAGCAGCAGCAGCCGAAGGCAGGCGAATCAGGAGGCGGTCCGCAGGTCGCCAGCGGCCGGGCTGGGCGGGGGCGCGGGCGGGGGCGCGGTCGCGGTCGCGGCCACGGGCGCACGGGGCCAGAGGCCGGAGCGGCGCAGCAGCAGCCCCAACAGGCCCAATCAGAGGAGCCGGCGCCTGCACCTCTGCTGCCACCGCCCGTGGCGGCCCCGAGGCGCACGCGCCAGCACCAGCAGAATCAAGGGGGGCGCGGATGACTCCCCAGCTTTCCCCCCGCGGTTGCTGTTCCATTCCCGGCTGGCTGGCCCCCCATGTTTCTTCTGCGGATTCTTGGCGCTGGCGGCAGCCGGGGTCCGGCTCCTGCCCACGTGCGGAAGCCGCCGAGCAGCTGCGGCGCGCGACGGCTCGGCCCTGCGGGCGCTGCAGGCGCCACAGCAGCCGGCAAAGCGCCGGCTGCGACGCGGTAACAATGTCAATCGAAACTGGCTTTTACAACGAGCCACAGGGGCGGAGTGCACCGAGGATGCTGATGCAGGACGGAGTCACTAAGGAAGATATCAATAAGCCAAAGGCAACAGGGGCTGCTCTCAACCAGGGTGTCACCCACAACAGGTGGGGCGCCGCGCCCACCGCGACGCGCCAGCTCGCTATCAGGGGCACTGGATCGCAGGGCCGCCTGCGATGCAGGAAAATTTCAGATGCCACCACCCCCAATGGTGGTCGGCTGCAGCTAGACGGTATGAATGGAGAAAGAAACGCGGAATGCAGTGCAACAACCACAACCATCAAGCCTCTGCGGTGAAGCTGCAGCGCCCAGCTGGGCCGGGCCGAACAGATGGCAGCGTCGGTCGCGGAGGCACCACCCCTGGTAGGCTGCGCCTCGACGCTGGCTCGCCTCGAAGCCGAAGCGGGGCCGGCCGCGCCGCGCGGGCCCGTGCCTGCAGCAGGGTCGGCGACGCGCCGCCGCACGGTGGACAGCACTGCTTGCAACGCCCAACCAGCTCCCTGGCCAGGCTCCGATGGGCCCAAACCCATCCGCCCTACTGGCCGCCGCCCCGCCACCGCTGCAGCGCCGGATGCCGCAGCGGGTTGGCGACCCGCCGCCGCGCCTCCGCGACCGCCGCGGCCGCCGCGCCGAGCGCGCGGTCCGCCTCCGCCGCGTCCGCCTTGAACCGCTGCGCGTCCTGCCTCAGCCGCTCCAGCCGCGCGGCCGCCTCCGCCGCCTCCTGCTTTGACCGCGCGGCGGACTCCGCGCGCTGCTGCTGCTGCGCCTCCAGCTGCTGCACCTGAGATCTGAGATCGTCCAGCTGGGCGGAGATCTCCGAGGCCGCGGCGGCGTCGAGATCTGACTGCTGCCTCAGGGCTGCGATGAGGGCCTCGGTTTCTTGAGAGTCTGACTCAGCGCGGCGCGACTTGCCTTGGAAGACGAAGACCTGTCCCCAGGGTGCCCCGGTGCAAGCAGTGCGGGGGCGGCGTGTTGCGGGCGGCGGTGCGGCTGGGCTGGCGGGGGCGGCGGTTGCGGGGGGTGTCCCACAGAGCAGCAGGACAAGGGTGCTGCCAACCGCAGGGCGAGCGTAATGAACGAATTGTGGTTGTAGGTTTGAGGCTGCCACAATTTCGCCAAAAGAATTCTCATTGAGGCGAGTCATGTCAACAGGGTGCCGCCCTGCGTTGCAAAGCAAGCTGTGCTGGTTTTGGGAGCCACTGCAAACCCCCGCCTCCCCCTCTTCGTCCTCCTCCGCTCCGCAGTGCCACCCCTCGCCCGCACCTTTGTTTCAAGGTCCTCCCTCTCCTTCTCAAGAGATCGGACCACTCCCGCCTGAAGTTGGTTGAAGCGGGGCCGACACGCGTCAAGCTCGGTCACGGTTGCAGTGAGTGCGGCAGCAGCGCAGGGGCCGCCACCCAGCGCACCTGGGAGGCGTAGTAGGCGCCATAGCCAAGGCCCAGAGCCGCTGCTACCGCTCCGACGGCCTTCCTCGTGCCCGACGCAGCAGTGGCTGCCATCTGAGGGCTCGCGAGACGGGCTTTGCTCACAGATCTGGCGCGGCGAGAGCGCGTCTGTGACCTGCCAGTGATTTTCACAGGAATCAAAGGTCGAAGAATACATGGCGACCAAAGCAACAAGCCTTGCAAGTCGGTTCGGCCGGGCGCGGGTGCGGGTTACAATAATGGCCTGGGTGGGACAACCACCCCGCAACTGTAACGCATGAACGTCAGCAGAGAACCGTCGATTGATCTGTATGTTTTATACTTTCACTAATCGGCCCTGCTTTCGCGCCTGCCATGGGCCAGGAGCCACGATCGTGGTGGCACCTGCTTTTCTCGAGCATGGGCCGAGGCGAGCAGCTGAAGTATACACCTCTAGAGCTTGATGTTGAGACCCAGCTTGAGAAGTCGAGCGGCGGCGTGCTGCAGGGGTGGTGAGTGTACAGCAGTGCGCACCAGCAGCAGCAGCGCGCGCTCGCTTGCCGCACCATAGAGAGCGGCACCACACATGCATGGGGGTTGAAGCTCGATCTCATAAGAGCTATTCCAGGGTCAGGTCAGGCATGCATTATAGGTGCTGCCGCGGCGCCGCAAAGCGCAGCCAGCCCTGAGCAGCGCTGGCTCGCGCGTGAGCGGCGGGGGGCAGCAGCCCCCC